TTTCGAAGGTCCCCTCACAGCCTTCTCTTCTCCAGGCTGAACAAGCCCAGCTCCCTCAGCCTCTCCTCGCAGGAGAGATGCTCCAGTCCCTTCCTCATCCTCGTAGCCCTCCACTGGACTCTCTCCAGTAGCTCTTCATCTTTCCTGAACTGGGGAGCCCAGCACTGGACATGGTACTGCAGATGGGGCTTCACCAGAGCAGAGTAGATGAGACCTACTGTTCAGTTTGGTTTAATTCTTCCAAATTGCCAAGGAAAAATTCACTTGGAGGAATTCAGAGGGTGCAAATATTGCCCGTTAGCTGCGGGAGGTTTTTACAAGCCAAAGTGATGCTTTCCAGGCATGGCTTTTAGCAGCTGCCGGCCGCAACGTGTGAGGGAAAAGAAGCCGGACATGCAGCTGCATTTTGAAATATCTCCTTTTTCCTTTTCTTTTTTTTTTTTTCTGCAGGGCAGCAAATTTCCCTGCAACACAGCTGGGTTTAACATCCTGCCATCCACCTACAACAAGCTCCGCACCTTGGCACCCATCCTGCTGCATCCAATCCTTCCTCCTCCCTCAGAACGGTTTGACAGGAACATCCAGTTGCCCTCCTGGGGTATCGGATTTTGCTACCCAGCTCGTTTAGAGCAAGAAAATGTTGAAAAAAAGACCTCTGCATCGCATCTTTTTTAAGCAGGCAGCGATTTCCCTGCTCTCCCCGCTGGGAGAGCGTGCAAGGAGCCGCAGCCATTAACCCTCCGCTTCAATTAAGAGAGGGGGAATGAAGATTTGCACATCCAACCACGGCATCTTCAAGTCACGTCAGATGAACAAAAGGGATGAGTAAAGGACACTGGCTCCTTCAGTTGTGTTGAAGGGAAAGCAGATTTAGGGGATGAGGTGATGCTCATGGGCAGGGTTTGCAAGCTCTCATCCCAAAGGTGACGCAACCCCAGGGGACCCGGAGCTGCAGCGGCATCCCAGCTCCCAAAACCTCCTCCACCAGCCTGGAACAATGAATTCCCTGTATTTATCCACTCCAGCTGACCTGGGAAAGCCATTCCCAGGGGGATTTTTCCCAGGATTTAGGGGATGCCCCTTCCAGACAGTCCAAAATGGGATTTTCCAGGCTGAGAAGGGAAGCCCATAACCTTATTTACAAGTCACTTTCGCTTGTAATGGAGGCACTTACCCCTCGGATACATCATCCGCTTTGCGTGGGTTTTATTCGCAGTAATAACTCCCGGAAAGTCCTCAACAGATGGAAATTTTATTTGGCTAATCATTGCCATTAGAGTTACAGCAGGAGAGGCATCGGTGGGGATGAACAGCACTGGGGGGTCGGGGCTGTGACCCCCAAGGAACCGGGCGAAGCCATAAATTAGGGATACCACAGCTTTCCTGACCTATATTTATGAGATTGAGGATGAAGAAGAGGAGAGAAAATGCAATTTCTTCTTACCCAGCAGAGCTTCCATTTCACAAAAAACACGAAAAAAGGGATTTTAAATTTTTTTTCCTAGTTAAACCAGTTTCTCTGAGCAATTCTGCTTGGGAATGACGATTGCCAGCCTATTCATGTGTGCATTATGGCCATGGGATATATACACATTTATATATATATATATATATATGGGGGGGGAGGTAGTGCTGCATAAGCCTTCCTAGCGCTGCTTTACATGTGTAACCACTCCTCAGATATGCTAAAAAAAAAAAGCGGATTCCCATTAAAAAGCTGATTCCCATGTAAACCTCTCTGAATCCTCTTTTCCCCCTGGGGAGCACGCGTGTGCTGATGTCCCCACCGCCCTGGCTGCTGCAGAACGCGGGCTGGAGCCTCTGTCGCCGCAAAGCCCGGCCCGAGGGGGGTTTGAGGGCTGGGTCCTGAAGGACTTGCACTAAATTTTGTGAATTCTGGAGGAATATATCCCAAATGGAGTTTTTTTCATAAATATATACATAGTTCTAGGTATATATATATACCAGCTCCAGGCTCTGTGCCGCAAGTGGGATGGAGGAGAGGGACTGGATGAAAGCCCGACCCAAGCTGAATTTATTGCTGTGATTAAGGTCTAATTAGTGCAAAGAGACCCTTGGAAATAAAGAGATGGGGTTGCACCCCCCCTAAAAGCAAAGGGATAAGGGGGCGAAGCGAAGCCTTTCCTGTCCTAGAGCCTGGGGAAGGGGCATGCAAAAAAGCAAAACAAAAAAATACTAAATATAAAAAGAAAT